ATTATGAGCGCCAAGGGGTGGGTGTCAAAAGAGAAGTCTTTACAAGGAATCAGAATTAGACTGCTCACCTCTCTAGCCTCAACAGCACAAGGTCTGCTTCGACTATCAATGATCAAGTTCAAGGCAGGCACCCCGGAAATAGCAGGTCACAAGAGAGTGACAAACATACAAAAGAAGTAGAAGAAAATGACAATACTAAGGATCATTGTTGTTTCTATATCTATCACTGCCATATCTATGACTGTTACTGTTATATAAAATCATTACGATTGCTACCTTGTAAAACCTTCAATGATGTGTTTATCAGATTCAGCATGCCACAAGTAGAGTTCGTAACAATTGACTGTAGAATTCTGTGGTAACAATTAACTTGAATTGTAAACTTTGCCTTGTAGCATTCAGCAGTCAGATTTATGCTAGCTTTTGTTATAGTCCTTAATTTATATGGTCCAATAGACTTCTGAGTTTGTTAAATCGGACCCAACAAGTTCCAAGAATCGTACAGTTATCAATGTACATTTTAGTATATTTGTATTACTACATTATGAATTTGTTTAATCCTATCAACTCAGGATTTAAGTGGGTGTGTTAGACTATTAGATTGCTTATCAATAGAAGGAAACAATAAATCCTGGATTGTTGGTCCCTATATTACCATGATTAAGTTGAATTATGTCCCTGTAATTGTACTTTTATTTTATCTACCCTCACAACAAAGATTGTCTGATCTTAGTTATATTTACTCACTCCTCCTTGTGTTATTAATCACATGTGCTCAAGCTCATTATGATTTAGTCTTGTCAGTGAAGCCAGAGAGGGCAGACCTCATATCATTTTCTTATTAAATCAACCTTCTTCATTTAGAAACGGAGTTTTTACTTTTGTCTTATTAAATACAAAAATGATCAAAATAAAGATTTTTTTAAAAGTGAAATTGTGCTCTGGTCTTGACATTCGACTATCGAACGTATAAACAATGGTGGAAAATCAGTGTATAGATATAGGCTTGGTGATCGCACCGTCAGGATTGAAGTTCCCGGATTTGCGTAGCCTACTGTTACTGTTAGGGATGCGATGACATTAAATTGAACAGCGGCAACGGAAAAATGCCATTTTCAACCCTCGGAAAGCTTTACAATTCTGTCCTTTCAAAGACCCATTCCATTTCCATGTTGTGTATGTTACATCGTTCTGAGCTATATTTTCACGTCTCTTGAAGAAGAGCTTTTTTACAAGTAGGCTACAACTACAAGATATTTTTTTTAATGCGCAGGTAGATCTTGATCTAGAAATCTAAGCTCATGTCATTGTCACAGTAAGCTTGAGTAGGCCTTGATCCTAGGTCTATCATTGCCAGCAATCGTTCGCCGATTAGCCAGAGAGAGCTCCGGGGGTTTCTATTAATGTGGTAGGCCTGGATCTAACTAGATTCTATGGAAAGATCTAAGACTCAAGATCTAACCTTGAATGAAAATGTCGATCTGTATATATATATATATGATTTCAACCCTCTAAATTGATGGTACAAATAAAATTATACCACAAAAAAACCCATAAAATCAAGACTAAATATAGTGCAGTGTCTTTGATGTGCCTCTGCTCGGGCTGTCGTAGCTTCCATATATATATATATTACATTTTATTAATATTTACAAATCAAGCACAGGATGAACTTGAAGTACTGCGGCATGCCACTCAGCCGGGTAGTGTTTCGTTAGTTTAGTTTTAGTAAGAGTTTTACGGCACTTGCAACACAATAAGGTCATATAAGTGCCGAAGATTAGAGGTGTTACAAGAGAGTAACAAACACAAAATAGAAGGAGGAGGAGAGATCAGGACGATAGACGTTTGATAGGAAAGAAGAAGCAAACCACACCAGAGCACCCGCCAACCACCCACTGGGTAGTGTTTCAACTCGTCTTTGATTGTGTTGTTCTTGGCGGTCACTGGTTTCGAGGATTTTTTGCCAAAAACATACATGTACTTGATGTACCTTGTACTTGTACTGCACAGTACTTCCAAAATTCTTCCTCAAACTCACGATACGATTTAAAAATTCGTCCCACTTTGAAGGGATGGGGAGTTGAATCCCCCGTTCTTATTGAGAGAGAGAGTGAGAGAGAGAGAGAGAGAGAGAGAGAGAGAGAGAGAGAGAGAGAGAGAGAGAGAGAGACAGAGACAGAGAGAGAGAGAGAGAGACAGAGAGAGAGAGAGAGAGAGAGAGAGAGAGAGAGAGAGAGAGAGAGAGAGAGAGAGAGAGAGAGAGAGAGAGAGAGTGGAAAGGGTGGGAATGGGGGATGATGGTGATGATGATGATGATGATTATTATATTATATTATAAGTGAAATGACGATATAATTTACATGATTTAGAAAATTATAAACTGAAAATAGCAACACTAACATAGGCCACTCGGGGTAACTTAAGCCACTTACAATAAGTTACAAAGAACGGTCTGTACAAAGGAACAGATTTAAACGTGCAGCCATCGTTGTGTTCAGCAGGCCAACCCCAAGCCAGATTTATTCGAGTAGTACAACCAGTTGCAGATGTCTAATACAATGCCAGGTTGGCTAATTGATTATACCACAGGAACAATCTTGTTACATTGACGACAATGAACACAATATTTCTGTCAATAACTTTGACAGACTAAAAAAAAAAAATGAATACGTAAATACTGCTAGCAACTTAGACAGACACCTTCAAAAACGACCTAAGTGTATCTTAAAAAAACAAAAACAACAATAATCCCCCCCCCCACTCCAGAGTCCTATAGGCTACTCCGCATTGCTCACTTTCAATGAACTTTGGTGACCCCAGCATCCGCAGGTACTCACATGATGCGAACACGCGCAGGTTCACTGACGGGTCACGTTGGTAAGCCCGACAAGCTGACTTTATGAAAGTGGCAGGATAGAGCAGGGGTTGGCCACGAGAGACATGGAGGAGATGTGTGGAAAGGGACATGAGAGAGAAGAAGCTCACTTGGAACAAGCTAGGAAGGACGGCCCTGGATAGAGATAAATGGAAGGAGCTTGTATGTGGCCTATACCCTGCCAGGGGTGAAAGGCATAGATGATGATGATGATGATGATGATGATGATGATGTCACAAATGTGGCGTTATCAGACCGGGAGGGTTGAAAGGCATAGATGATGATGATGATGATGATGATGATGATGATGATGATGATGATGATGATGTCACAAATGTTGCGTTATCAGACCGCGAAAAGCCGAATGAACTCAATCGCGACTGGGGAAAATGAACTTACTGACCTTATCGGATTTGGTTTTCAAATATTCGGGAACGTTAAGTATTTTCTCGGGTCATTTCCGCGGGGCAAATTACAGATTTCCTCAAACTCCCGGAGACAGAGAGCAAGAGAGAGAGAGAGAGAGAGAGAGAGAGAGAGAGAGAGAGAGAGAGAGAAAGAGAGAGAGAAAGAGAGAGAGAGAGAGAGAGAGAGAGAGTGGAAAGGGTGGGAATGGGGGATGATGGTGATGATGATGATTATTATTATTATATTATATTATAAGTGAAATGACGATATAATTTACATGATTTAGAAAATTATAAACTGAAAATAGCAACACTACTAACATAGCATTTCCACTTACTCAAAGTAATAACTAGTTTAACTAGCCTTTCCTCTGGCAACACTGAATCATGAAGATTACACTAGTTTTTCCATAGAAGCCAGATTTTAATAATAATAATAATAATAAATGACATTTATATAGCGCTGAACCCCGAATAAAGTACACAGGCTCTGAGCGCTTTACAATACAGTACACCGTACAACAGTAACATAAAACGCTGTGTTCTGACTAAATGAAAATCACTCCAAATATTCATCTTACTCATTCAAAAACTTCTAAGAGAGAGGGGGGGGGGGGGGGTTGGTCCCCTGCCGCCAGGTTTTGAACCCAGAACCTATTGAATGAGAGGTGAACACCGTAACCTCTAGACCACGATAGCCCCCCCCCCCCCCCCCCCACCAATAAGAATTTTTTAAAAGTTAGAGATAAAATAAAACAAGATAGATAAGATACGATAAGATAAGATTATACTTTATTGTCCCAGTTGGAAATTTTCTGTGGCTTTCCAGTAATTGTAAAAACACACAAATATAAACACTGAATTTAAACTAAACTTGTATGTTTCTTTCACATACAAATTTCATGCTTTGTTTTATAAATTTGGCCAAAAAAAGTTTATTAAAGGCACACAATATAATGTAATTTTCAGTTTTAAAGGACTTTCAAGCTATTAAGTTACCAAACTTTGGTGGCCACTTTCTCAAGAATGTTATTACTGACACCAGGCGACCCCCTCCTTCAATCACAAATATCTTGATTTCTACTCAAGATAGACGGGTATTTTTTTTTTCACTGAGAGCAAAGCAAATGAATAAGCTTTTAGATGATACCATTAACTCCACTTGCCCAAATATTGACAAGCGCCTGATTCCACCACGTCGTGACACAAATGTTGATGAAAATGAAAGGCAAAAAAATATAAAATTTTCAGTTTCCAAAGACACTCAAGTTTTAGAACTTGTGACAAGTCACCAAACTTTGGTGGCCATTTTCTCGCTCAATTTTATCCCTGACAACAGATAGCCCCCACCTTCTTCAATTGTAAATATCCTGAATACTATTCAAGACAGATGGGTATAATTTTCATTAAAAGGAAAGACAATGAACAGACTTTAAGATGTGATAAATAACTCCATTTGTCCCAAAATTGACGAGTGCCTGATTCCACAGAGTCGTGACACATGTATAAGACTAATAATGTCAGATTCAAATGGTCGCTTTTAAGCACAAGAAAAAGCTATTTTGAAAAAATCGAAGGTAAAGTTTTTGTCCCTTGTTCAGTTCCTTTAAAAGACAAGGATAATTTTCACTATAACCAAACAAATATGCACACCAATGAAACCTAACTTCTCCTATTGGTAGGGCAATGCCCACTTTTGGTGTTAGTAGAGATTTCAGGAAACCCCCGGCATTTGGGTCAGCCCGCTTGTCCTTAAAAAGCGACAATTAATATATACAGCCTCAAATTTTGTGCATATGTTTTGTAAGCGAGTAATAAAATTCTTTTGGGTGATCAATTTGCTTTAGCACATTGTGAGAGCGCCTCAGGTCACCACTTAAAGGAGAGCTCATTCCCACAGACGAACATTCACAGTCCGAGCAAAACAGTTTCCTTTTCTTCCCTCTCCAGCTCTGGCACTCTGCTGAGACATCAGGACACGATGAGTTTCTGCAGACACTGATAGGTCTGTGTTGCTCACTGATAGGTCTGTGTTGCTCACTGATAGGTCTGTGTTGCTCACTGATAGGTCTGTGTTGTTCACTGATAGGTTTGTGTTGCTCACTGATAGGTCTGCGTTGCTCACTTCCCTCGATAAAAGAATCACAATCTCTCACAGGGCTGTCTAGCTCAGCTTCAACACGGCCACTGTTTCCACATAAATAGTCAGCTTTACTTACGTCAGCAGTGAACAATTTCCTCTTGAGTAGGCTACACTTCTCAGCACTACATTTGCAGCTAAATTTGCCAGCACCATTGGCATTTGTAGAGCAAACCAATTTCCGCTTCTGAAAATACGAACTTGCATCCTGCGGAAAACAACTTGAACAAGAAGAAACACAACAGCATGTCTTATTGTGACATGTGTTCAACACATTCGATTCACCCTTTTTGCTACATGATGTGTTCAACACAGCTAGTTCACCTTGGCGTGTAGGTGTGCCAGAAGCCTTCCTCCTTCTAAAATCACAGTCAATAAAAGTTCTGTGAGCAGCATTGCCTAAATCACTGTTGGTAACATTTCTACAACATTGTGAAGTTCTTTCCTGAGTGGCGGAGCTGTTTGTAGCACTATTTTCCCTTGAGCCGTGGCCATTGTTGTTTTCAGTAGTGTCACTTGTCTTGTCATGAGACTGGGTCGTGTCATGAGACGGGGTCGTGAGATGAGACTGGATCGTGTCATGAGACGGGGTCGTGAGATGAGACTGGGTCGTGTCATGAGACTGGGTCGTGAGATGAGACTGGGTCGTGTCATGAGACGGGGTCGTGAGATGAGACTGGGTCGTGTCATGAGACTGGGTTTTGCCATGAGACTGGGTCGTGATATGAGACTGGATCATAACATGAGACCGGCAAACAGAGTTAGTGGAAAGGTCTTCAAAAGGGCGAACATTTGGCGGTCCGTTATTCAGTCCACATCTATGAGGTTTGCTGCCTACAGGACTCTTGACAAGACTAGCCGTAGGGACAACAGAGTCCACTCCTACTGTGGCGTCAACCTTCCCTCGTGTGATGTAACTACACGGTTTGCGGGAGTGCCTGGAAGCGGAGAGTCTCTCTTCCGCTCGCTGAGGTGCGCCCGACGCACTCTCATGTTCTGTGTCCCGCATGCTGTCACTTCGCCTGTGGTGAGTACCCAAGGAGTGACTGGGGTCGGAGGATGCAAAACATTTCTTGGTTACAATTTCAACTTTTTCCGTGTTGCTCATCTCAAGATGAAGAATCTCCGCTCCACAGCCGACACAACACTGTGAGTGTGATTCATGATCAAAGTCCTTGAACATCGGTGAAAAAGACTGCTTTACTAGGTGGTGTGAAAAATATTTGCATGCTTTCCCATAGTGGCCCAGACGTGACAAGACTCTGATCTCGGTCGCTGCTTCTGTGGGCAGGTCGCGAAGGAAATGCCAGTTCTCCGCAGGTTGTTCTCGGAGCGTGACAAACGGGCAACCCCCGGAGCCCACGCAGCCACCGGATCTTGCCTGGTAAGGGAAATTGAAAAGCAGAGAGGAAAAGAGAATAGTCGATCAGTTTTCAGTTTTAGTAAGAGTTTTACGGCACTTGCAACACAATAAGGTCATATATAAGTGCCGAAGATTAGAGGTGTAACAAGAGAGTAACAAACACAAAAGAGAAGGGGGAATGATCAGGACGATAGATGTTTGATAGGAAAGAAGGAGCAAACCACACCAGAGCACTCGCCAACCACCCACTTAGACAGACAGACAGACAGAAATGACAGAAAGAAAGAAAACAAGTAGGACGTACAAAGTGGCGCTCTCAAACCAATCGCATCTCTTCTATCGGGACACGGTAAAGAAAAGTCAAAAGATTACATTGTGGTGAATCAGGCGCTCATCAATACAAAATTGGAGAAACAGGCATTTTCGCAATTTTATTTGAATCAAATTTTGGGTCTTTTGTTCAACCCTTTAATGTCCAAATAAAGACATTTCCTTGTGAATTATATTGAAAATCGTTGATCAAAAGCTCAAAATATGTAATTTTTCAGTTTTCAAGGACTCTTTAGCTATTGAAGTTACCAAACTTTGGCGGCCATTTTCTCGCTATTTTTACCGCTGAAACCAAGTAAACTTACCTCTTTCCATCCCATATCTTCACTTCTGCTCAAGATAGATGGGTACTTTTTTTTCAACAAAAGCAAGATCAATTAACAAGCTTAAAGATGATACCAATAACTCCACAAGCACAAAAATTGACGAGCGCCTGATTCCACCGCGTCGTGACACATATATAATATTCGAGCTTTGAAAACAAACTAATAGAGGGATACTGGTTAGAGCTTTACAAATTGGTCAAAGAAACAAAGTGTGTTTGAGTCCAACAGAGGTCCAGCTACAAGGAGACTATTGTAAAATGTTGGTCTTAAAATACGACAGAATCTCAAAAGTAAGTCTTTTTTCTTTTTTTTTAAACAGAAGTCTGTGGGATCATCTAATTTTTTTTGGTCTAACCAGGTTTTCAGAGGTTGCTACGATAGAAGAAAAATGTCGGAGAATCTGTTTTCTTTCAGTTTATCACTGTATTGGATTAACAGCGTTTTTAAAAGTTTCAGTAAGCGTTTAACAGCACTTGCAACACATTAAGTCATATAGGTGCCAAAGATTAGAGGTGTTACAAGAGAGCAACAAACACAAAAAAAAAAGTAGGACTGTATTTGGTTAAACATCATATATATATTATAAGATAGTTCACTCCTCTTTTTGAGCCAAATAAAAAAGTGTCTTCAAAATTCAGTGGCGCCCTCATCGAAAAAGCGCGGACTTTGCGAACAGAGTTACCCTACTTGTGTAAAAAACAATAAAAGTGAAACTAACAAACTGTGCTATTCCTATTCTTCTTCGGGAGAAACGGAAGAAAGCTTCAAAACAAAGACTGCAGTGCCATCTGAAGCAATGCGCGGACTTCCGTGGACACTTTTTTGGCTGAGTGAACTATCTAGTTATGTACGATCTTTGGTTTGGTTTAACACTTTGGCATCACAAGGCTCATATAGTAAAAACCCTTGCCATCAAAGGCAAAGGCATTTTAGGGAAAATCCAAAGAAACTGGGTGGTAAACATCGGCGATTGGCGATATGTGACGGCAAAGTGTGAAAAAAATGAAATCATGAAAATGGTATGGATGGGTTTAACGCCCCTATCAACACTATTAGGTTATTTAAGGGACGGGACCTCCTAGTTTAACGTCCGTCTCCGATAGGACCGAGCCAAGTGGGAAGTTTGTGTAAAGTGCCTTTGTCAAGGACAAAACGTCGGACCGAGCTGAGGCTCGAACCCCCGAACCCGCAATCTCACGATTACGAGTCCGGTAGCCTAACCACTAGGCCACCGACGTCACCTCGGCAAAGTGTGAAGTGGGCTCCTCAAGTGTCTCACCTGTATAGTAGGGCAACTGTGGCCACAGTAGTCCACCCTGCGACCCTCTAGACCATACAGGTGCCGGATGTTGTAAATGTACCGTCGTTCGTTGCCGTGCCAACTGTGGTGGCAACGTGGGGCACCGTCACTTCCTGTAGGGGTCGAGAACTCTCGTTTCCATAGCAACAGTGCATTGTGAACAGACAAACCCAGTTCCTTTAGAAAAAGAGTTAGCTGGACCTGGGGAAAGCGTGTTTATTAGTGAGGCATTGTGGTGAAATCAGGCGCTCCTCAAAATAAGGAAATCAAAGAAATCTGCTCTTTTTGTACCGTGGGGGTAATTTTTTTTTTCTTATTTTCGTTTTATGGCTCAACACCTTTTTTATCAATGTAAAAACAATTTTTTGTGCGGATTTCACTGAAAATTATTGATAAAAGGCACAAAAAATGAAAATTTTGAGTTTCCAAGGACTTTCAGGAAACGGAAGTTACCAAACTTTGGCGGCCATTTTCTCACAAATTTTACCTCTGAAATCAGGCGACCCTGACCTCCTTCAATCGCAAATATTTCAACTTCTATTCAGTTTAGATGGATATTTTTTTCACCAAACCGAAGGCAAATGAACAGGCTTTAAGATGATATGAACAGCCGCGTGTGCAAAAAAAAATTACGAGCTTCTGACTCCACCATGTCGTGACACATTTTAAAAAGTTTCATCTTATGAAAACCGGATGAGTTGATGCCGTCTGGGGAGTGAAAAAAAATCAACTCATCTAAAGTTCAACTGAACCGTTGGGATCTGTAAAGAAGAAGAGGTGCAGGGACCCGAGAAAACGATCAAGTGGAGTTGACTGTATACGGTTTTCTTGAATCCAGTAACCATTGGGCTTTTTCCCTTCGATATAATGTTAAAGTGCAGCCTCTCTATAGCGAACTTCGACATAACAAATCCTCTGTATAGCGACATATTGCCCAGGACCTGATTTTTACCTTTAATCTATATCATTAATAATATTTGGGCTGCTTCTCAATAACAACATTTTTTTCTGGTCCTGACGATGTCGTTATAGTGAGAGGCTGCACTGTACGTTTTAGTGTTCTTTATTTCTTTATTAACCCTGTCCGAACGCCGTTGGGTCATTTTGTACCTCCGGGGTTGTATTCTTCAGATTTTAGAATACTTCTAGTACGAAGATCTCTTTGAAACTTTCAGTATTTCTCAAAAAATCGTTTTGGCAGACGGCTATGCAAAGCCTACGGATCGGATTAACGAGTAAATTTCCTCTTTGGAAAGTGATGGCACAGAGTTCCCCACATCGTATGGGTAAGATAGTAAAACACGACGTATGGATAGGGTTAAAATTACACTCACACTGCATCCCCACACATCATGTACAAAATTCAAATGAACTTAAATAAACTAATCTGAATTCACAGTAAAATAGATAGATAAAGAAAGGACATTGCTTTGACTTATGCATGTGGTTACTTGCAGCACTGATCCACCATAGATTATCCTTACAGAGTGGAAGGGGCAAAAAATTAAAACATTTTTTGATAATTACAAATTTTAACAAGTGTGCATGTCTAAAAAGAGATCATTCCTACAATATTTGTGTTGCTTGCTATTATCACAATGCCGCCGATTGGAGTCCCGTAGGGGACTTTTGTACATTGGTTAACATTTTTTAATGATACTGATTTTTTCCTTTAGGGAAAAAGTCGTCACAGTAACACACTAAAATCATTAAAATTTCATGATCTCTTGTTCTTTTATTTTTATTCACTGAAGGAAAAATAAAACAGATTTGTTCCTACTAGTAAAGGGGTATGAGGCTGAATGTGCCACCCCCTTTTTGACTAGCCTACTTGTCCACCCCACCTCCCCCTTTAATTCCTACTCTCCTTTTTATTAGATAGCTTAGAGTAGGGGTGGGGCGTTAAACTATACCATTGCACCATTTTTCACCAACTGTGAAGTTTACTTTGCGGTACATTCTAGTGTGTGAACGTACCCGGTCGTGGTGGCGCAGTCTGTGCTGCCGTCTGAGCGTGTCCACGAGGCTCACCATACACGGTGGGAACCTGGCGGAACATCGCCACAAATCTGGGAGCTGCAGACGCCCAACATCGGCAGCCCATCTCCTTTTGCTGTGGCACGTCTGAGCTCGGTATTCTCTCTGAGAACAGAATCGGATAAAGAGGCTGTCATAGTACAGTCACATCTGCTCTAACAGTCACCTGTATAAGAATGATAAGATAATCTCCTGTACAAACGACCACCTGTATAGACAATCACCTGTATAAGATAGCCACCTGTACAAACGACCACCTGTATAGACAATCACCTGTATAAGACAGCCACCTGTACAAATGACCACCTGTATAGACAATCACCTGCATAAGACAGCCACCTGTACAAACGGCCACCTGTATAGACAATCACCTGTACAAACGACCACATGTATAGACAATCACCTGTATAAGACAGCCACCTGTACAAACGGCCACCTGTATAGACAATCACCTGTATAAGACAGCCACCTGTACAAACGACCACCTGTATAGACAATCACCTGTATAAGACAGCCACCTGTACAAACGACCACCTGTATAGACAATCACCTGTATAAGACAGCCACCTGTACAAATGACCACCTGTATAGACAATCACCTGCATAAGACAGCCACCTGTACAAACGGCCACCTGTATAGACAATCACCTGTACAAACGACCACATGTATAGACAATCACCTGTATAAGACAGCCACCTGTACAAACGGCCACCTGTATAGACAATCACCTGTACAAACGACCACATGTATAGACAATCACCTGTATAAGACAGCCACCTGTACAAACGGCCACCTGTATAGACAATCACCTGTATAAGACAGCCACCTGTACAAACGACCACCTGTATAAGACAACCACCTGTACAAACGACCACCAGTATAAGACAATCACCTGTACAAATGGCCACCTGTACAAGACAATCACCTGTATAAGACAATCACCTGTACAAACGGCCCCTTCTTTCTGATTGCCAACGCCGAGCTGTCAACATCGCTAGCGCTAGAATTTTATTATTTCCCTTGAACTTATTACTGGATCCCTCATTAGATAATCCTGCTATAACTGACATTTCGCACCAGTCCCCTCCCTCTCGTTATAACAGGATTCCACTGTATAATGACACAGTGTAAGATGTCCACCTGTTTCAAATGGTCCCTTTTCTCCACAACAATTGGTAGCCACTAGAGAATTTTTTCAACTGTACTTTTTAAAAGTTTCTTCTCATGAGGTATAGGCATACCCCCCAACTTCTGACAAATAAAAACATCAGTCAGAAGTAAAAGACCCATGCTTCTGATCTGTAACAAAGAAAGATACAGAAGGTCATTTTTACCATCATCTATCAAAATGCTTCCATCTTAACCATCTCGTTTAGTGTACTTACGACCATGGAGCATGCATCAAAATAACATTGAGTGTGTATCTAGCTTACGATTATTATTGTTTATATTGCTGCTCATTTATATTATGCATGTGATTGTAAGCCTACTTGTGTGTGCATGTGTCTGCACGTGTGTGTGTTTGTGTGTGTGTGTGTGTGTGTGTGTGTGTGTGTGTGTGTGTGTACTCGTGGTGGAACACCAAACCAATGTGCCAGGATCTGGACAATAAAGATGTATCTTATCTTATCTTATCTTATACTATTTTCTTTAATTAAAGCAGCAGCTCTTCTTTTTAGTCTTTAGTTTTAGTAGAGTTTCTATGGCGCTCGCAACTGCATAAGGTCATTTGAGCACCAAGAGGTGGATGTCAACAGAGAAGTCGATACAGGGAATCAGGCTTATTCTGCTCACCTCTCTAGCCTCAACAGCACAAAGTCTGCTTCGACTATCAAAGCACTCCAGAAACAGCAGGTCACAAGAGAGTGACAAACATATGAAAGAAGTAGAGGAAAAAAATGACAAAAGTAAGAATGAGGTATGAAAAAGCAGCAGTTCCCCGTCAGTTCAGGCACAGTATGAGTATGACATTGATGAATCAGTACGGCACATTAAAAAAGTAAAAATACTAGGACTCAGGACTTAACAAACTGAATGTTACAGACTGAGAATAATGTTTTTTAGCCAAGTACATTATATAAATACAGAAACGCATCACAGACTTGCATAAAGAGGCCTAAACCCTGTTGCAGGGTGAGAAAGGCAATGAATGAATGACATTATACAGAGGTTTGACTGTAGAACATCTTCAGGAAGATTACAAGACATGGCTGCAAAAAAAAAATAATAATGATTATGTCACTGAGCACATACATCTAGCAAAATTATGACAACAAATCGACTCACTGTCAGGATGTTTGCAAGATGCAACAGCCTTTCGTCTTGCATGGCTCGTTCCCTGCTTTTTGAGGCCTGTTTCACCGTCATTCTTAAGAGAACCTCAAACTGCTCAGCAAACACTTGTTTCAGGCAGTGGACGGGGACCAAAGCCATACCCTGTGGGTGAGAGTCAACTGTCTTTTACACATCGATTGTTTTAGTATAGAGTTTTTACGGCGCTCGCAAGAGCCCACCAACCAACCCCTTAACCCTATCCGTACGCCCTGGGGTCATTTTGTACCCACGGGGTTGTATTCGTCACATTTTAGAATACTTCTCTTTGAAACTTTCAGTATTTCTAAAAATATCAGACTGCTATGCAAAGCGTACGGATCAGATTAACAAGTAAATTTCCTCTTTGGAAAGGGGTGGCACAGATATTGAATATCAAATTTGTTGATTTTCAACCAATGCCATTTCCTTCAGGTGTAATATGTTTTTTATCATTTCACAAAATAAATTATACAAAGCCAACCTATAAAATTGACTTTTGTGTATCTCTATGTCCACAGGACTAAAATCAGAGAAATAACAAGGAAATCAAAGAAATCTGCTCTTTTTGTACCGTGGGGGTAATTT